GCCCCCTTCTCAATCACCTACACTGGATGATCTCCGGCAGATGTATGTTGCGCTCCAGTGTCAGTATCACCCTCAGGACGTTATCGATGTTCTGAAGTACTTGTCATCGAGCCGGTTAGATTGGTCCGGCGTTGTGGCAGTGTGCGAAGAGAAAGAGGTTTACAATGCAGCAGTCTGGGCTCTCAATCAACAGGGTCATCCCCGTGATGCCCTTACCAAGGCGAATATTTTCGAAAAACGTCTTACTATTCAAGTCATTGAAGCGTTTGGGACCACCGGGACCACCGAGGCAGACTCTGCCATCAAGAAGGCAGTTGACGGACTCGTTGATCTAGCAAGATCTGGCATCTCTATATGTTTGGATCGTTCATTATCGACCTCGCCAGATGTATCTTTAGAAGACATCTGGCTCCAACTACTTGGCAGTCAGATTAACTCCATCCAGTCTGTCTCCGCGTCTTGTTCACGGGAAATGTTATCCTCCTTCACCCCAGATTCACATACTCATGCAGACCGTCTCGTGGACATCGAACGGCAGACATTGGACACACTTCGCTCCGTCATACGAGAAACGTTTACTTCTCTTGTATCCATAAGTTCCACCCGGGCGTTGTCCTTTCCCCGCCTCTTCAAACGACTAGTAAACTCTGCAATCCAGATGCCGTCATCCAGAGGCACTCACTACACCGAGTTTCGTACAATCCTGACGGGCATGCTGGAGTCATATCGGTCCGAGGGAGACATGCTTATTATCACAAAGCATTTACTGGACCGGGATCTATTTCAGGGTATGGCAGAGTTGACACGAGAACAGAATCGTGGATGGACTCCGCCAAAGGGCGTGTGTTCTGTATGTCGTAGACCATTACTAAAAGACCCGTACGCAGAACGTGACACCCAAACCCGGCAACTTGTTATCATGTCTCGAGAAGGTCGTTCATATCATAGTACATGCTCCCCTTCAGTGGTTTAAATCGAATATATAGTGAGTGCGATATACTCTCATAGATGTCTGGCAGTGAAGTAAAAAAGTCCGAGGACCCAACTCAAACGTTAGCAAGTATGTGTCATCGCATTATCCGTGGCCCGTGGCCATCTATGGCTCTACCATCCCACAGATAACTCAATCTGTTGTGAACAACAGATGACCATGTTTATGCACTTCAATCACGTACACGTGTGGGTACTTTAGCAGCGACCTTATGTTGGAAGCTCGCATTGTGATGCAGATTCCCTTCTCGATGGCGATAGTAACCCCCGGAATCCAATTTATTGCTCGCTCTGCCTGTAAACTAGGCCCTATCGTTCTACTCGCATATTGGCTGCGATCATGGACCTTGCTCCTTCTTCCCCTTCTTTTGCTATTTTATCCTATTCTCCTTTATCGATACTACGCTCACCGGGCCTCTTCTCTCAATGCGCGTCTCCCTCCTCGAGTACGCGGGAGCCTCCCTTTCAATATCGACATCATGCAAAGATCTCAAAATGACAAACATCCATGCGATACCTTGGTAGCACTGGCCTCGGAATACGGGCCCACATTCAACACAGATTTCCTGGGGCTCATGCACATCGTGACCACAAACCCAAAACACATTCAGCGTATCCTCGCCACCAATTTCGACAATTTCGAGAAAGGTGAGTTTAGCTTGTACATCAGCCGTTCAAGTATTGAATTTATTGTGAAGGGGAATCGTTCCAAGACACTATGGCGTCTGTGCTCGGGACCGGGGTATTCAATTCGGACGGGAAGATGTGGAAGTATGTTCCATCGCTATACTTTGGCGCAAGAGCCTGATGCGCAACATATCAGATTTCATCGAACGATGGCCCGCCCATTTTTCTCGCGCGACCGCATTTCGCACTTCGACTTGTTTGACGAATATGCCCAAACAGTGGTAGCCAAAATGAAAGAGCGCATTCGAATGGGTGTAGCGGTGGATTTCCAAGTAAGAGTCAAGGGTTACCTCGATATTGAACTAACAGGGACTCAGGACGTTATCCAACGGTTCACCCTTGATTCTGCAACGGAATTCCTCTTCGGGAAATCGGTCGAGAGTCTCTCTGGTGTCCTTCCGTACCCACCTTCTTCAGCCCTTCATCTTGGCAAACCTCACAAGAAAACTCACCCGGAAGTTTTTGCGGACGCCTTTTTGTCTTCCCTTGAAATCCTGCATGAGCGCGGCGACGAAGCGTGGATCTGGCCATTATTCGAGATTTTCAAAGACAAAACAGCCGCACCTATGAGCATCGTCAACCAGTTCATAGAGCCGATCGTAGGTGAGGCAGTGAACCAGCGGGATGAGGAGAAGCACGGAAGGAGGGAGACAGACAACATACAAAAAGATACGTTATTAAGTCATCTTGTCCGTGAGACGAGTGGTGAGTGATAATCCAGTCCCAGCGACATTTCAACTTTAACTGTCGATTACCTCAGATCCAAAGGTTTTGAAGGATGAAATGTACGCCCACTTCTCTTTGTTCGACTTCCGAGCTTGATGCGACAGTAGCCTGAATATACTGATCGCTGGACGCGACACAACGGGGTGGACATTGTCCGCTCTGGTCTACTTTTTATGTACCAACCCTCTCGTTTGCACTCGTCTTCGCGAGGAAATCATCAATTCGGTCGGTCCCGCGCAGCGCCCTACGTTTGAAGATATCAAAGGAATGAAGTACCTGAGAGCAGTGATCAATGGTACGTTCTTATCCATACCCTTCAATCAGTCGAATACGCTGAGAAAAACTAATGGACAGAGACCATGAGGTTATATCCCGCCGTGTATGTCTTTTCAGTCGACTTGATACAAGAGCTAACGTGAACATCAAAGTCCGGTAAACATTCGCACGTCAATTAACGAGACAACTTTGCCATCTGATGATCCAGATGAGAAGGACATCTACGTCCCCGCAGGAACCCCGTAAGACTTTCGGGTATCATTTTGCCTCCTTCATCTTGATAGTCCTACAGAATTCCATACTCGGTCTTCCTCATGCACAGACGAAAAGATCTTTGGGGTCCAGATGGCGAGTCTCTTACATTCTCTTGCTCTGTTCTCGTCTAATTTTCGAGGTTATTACAGCCGACCAATTCGACCCGCTGCGGTTTATTGACGAGCGACACCACCGCATAACAAAGAACCCATGGATCTTCTTGCCCTTCAATGCTGGTCCTAGGATATGCTTGGGCCAACAATTTGCGTACAACGAAATGTCATTTATCATCATCCGGCTACTGCAGGCATTTGAGGGCTTTGAGCTGGATGAAAGTATGGGAGGAAAGTTCTGCCCCAAGTTGACGTTGACGTTCTATGCCGGCGTACGTCAATTTTTGGACTAGTTTCTTTGCAAGTGACTAATTCTCTTTCTCAAGGGTGGTATATGGATCAAAGCAAAGGAAGCTGGAGAAATTGAGGTGTAGAACCCAGGAATAAATGTACATGCGAAAGTATTTCACTTCTCACTTTCCCTTGTGGATCGCCTACAAACTCCGCCACCAAGTCCAGTTTCTACCAGTTGCTGCGCCAAAGGCTCGCTGTATCCTAAAGTTGTCAAATTTTTGTCGGCGCTGGTTGCGATGGTAACATCGAGCGGATAAAGAACGGCCAAGCCAATTTAATAGTCACCTAGATCACATTGCGACTCAAAGCTTCGTCTCCTCGTCTGATTAGCTTTGCTTTCCGCGTTTTCCCATAAATCCACAGAGGACATGACCGATTTACTCCACTGTCGAACGACTGATGCAGGAGCGCGTATTGCGAGCAAACGGAAGCCACTGCGGTCACCAGCCAGCTGAATCCTTGCTTTATTTCGGGCATTGATGTCTTCCGTAATTTCAGAAGCTTTGGAGCCCATCACTTGGATAAGAAGGACTTTGAAGGAAACATTTCTGCTGTCAAGTAGCGCAGAAATGGTCGAATCGACGGTTTCGACTGATCTTTCGGAGTTCAAAGGGATGCTGACAGCTAGGTGTGTGATTGCGGAAACGTAGTTGTGAATTTCCGCGATGAAATGAAATTCCTCTAGAGATAGCTGCACGTGGACGTGAGTGGTATGGGGAGAAATAAGATGGAAGGGTATGCCATCTCGACATGAAGGACCAAGAAAGTGCTTCTCACAAGCAACATGAGAGAGCAAAGCATGGTGATGTGAAAGCAGATAGGTATGGAGCGAAAATCCGCACGCAAGACTTTTTACGTTGTCACACATAGAAATGATTTTCTCGATAGAAGGCAGGGGACCCAAAGCGAAGATTCCGAGGTTCTTCACTCGGCTGGAGAGCGGTACCACGGGGGCAAGACTGGGGGTTGCGGAGGAGGATATAGTTTCAAGGAAAAGTGTTACGGTGCGCGACGAAGATAGAACGACGTTTCTGTAGATGATGGGGAGTGTCCAGTGTCGAACGTGAGTCGACACTAGTGTTAAACTCAATGCAGTCGCAACAGACGATGCAGAGGCGAGCTCGAATATCTGTCTGAGGATGTCAATGGGCACTCCTGGGAAGGTGCGCATCGGCATGTTCACATCTAACCTCTAATAATTCTCCAAGTCAACCACAGGCGTTTGAGTGAATAGCAAGAACTTGATGCGACGTACCTGCAAACGATATGGGTCTCAAATGGTCGACTAAAGGGTGATGTAGTGGAGCATCGATAGGAGTCGAAGTCGCGAATATATACGGACGCACGGCAGTCCGCTACAGATCTCTTGTGTGCCTCTTAGACCAACTACATATGGATAATTTGATACGTTATTCAACGCACGAGACGAGTCTGGATTCTGCTTCACCTCATGTGTGTACATGTGGCGTTAGTCTTTTCTTCCGCGTACCCCGAACTTTGCAGACTGGAGCTGCAGATAGGAGATGCATTGTAAAGCGAGGTTCCAGAACGATGGGTGGCATACGAGCGTATGAATAGAAAGGTGGACTCGAAGCGATTATCCAGAACTCTGCGTTGATCTATGTGAGATTTATAGTTAATCATCTACAAAGAAGATATGGCAACGTGGCCGAGTGGTCTAAGGCGCTGGAATTAGGTGATCGTCCTGAAAAGGCATGGTTTACGTACTATCCAGTCCTCCGGGGCGTGAGTTCGAACCTCACCGTTGTCATGTGACTTCTTTCTTCCTCCTTATTAAAGGAGTTGTTTTCGCATTTTGATTTATTTACAATTTATACCGAATGTATCCCAATCAACTGAGTCTGACTCACTCTCTAGTATTCCTTTGAGAGCGAATTCTTAGGGTTGGGTTGGGACGTAAGGTACGGTACCGACACGGGATTGTTTATGGGGCAGTACCACCCTTTTTTGACTGCCGACCCGGCTGCGAGAGAGTTAGATGCAACAAAGAAAAAGAAAGGCAACCTCTGAGAATTCGTGAGAGTGAACAGGGTCAAGCTTTGAACTATCGTTGGCGAGCTTGTAGTATGTGCCTCGTCTGCGACAGACCGAGTCTAAAGGGGACTGTCTCCAGATGCTTTTGAACATCGTGACACTTATTGCGACAACCAGAGCACATGTATAATGGATGGGCACCATCTTGAGCGAGCGAGACAGGCGAGATTGCCATCGTCGTCTTTGACAGGCATTCTGAGCCTTCTTTTCTTTCTTGATGGGGCTGTACCCAAAGACAGTGAAAGGGGATGAGATGCATTACAAGATCATATAGAGCCAAGATGTGTGGTTTGCAAGAGGTGACTGGGCACATGACATCAGTTTTGATAGTGTGGAGGTGTTGTTGAAAGACATGGCAAGTATATATGTTATTGTTCCGGTATCTGTGCCGGGAAAGTGTCAAAGCTGCAAATATGGTGCATATACTCACTGTTTCATGCGCATATACATAGGCAAATCATTGCTGTATACGCAAAAGGGACAGAGAGCGATGGACTGCTGGATATAGCTGTGAAAGAGCGGTCGTTTTGCGTCAAAGGGTGCGTTTGGTTTGTAAGCTGCGATGTCGTTGGTAATTTTGATCGTACGGTCACGATGAGAGATGCATCCTTGTAAGCGAAGTTTGAAGGGAGAGAACAGGGTCTTGTAGCGGCTTTTGCAGTGTGCGTTCAGGCTGAGCGGTCTCCCTTTTGGTCCTCGATCTATTCTCCGCAGAGAGCACGGTGGTCGATAATAACGACTGTATTGGAGTTGATGCTGCGAGCAGCAGCAAAGTGAAATGCCCAATCAGAGAGATACCAGTCGGTGTGACTAATTACTCTTCGCAGAGGTCCCACTTGCAACGCCTAGTTTGGCCGCTGGTGGAAACAGAAACGAGACATGCGAGAGGGTGTTCGAGGTGCTTGAGATGGGTGTCTCGGGTTTCCCAGACGGTGGAAGCCTTGGAGCACCCGTCTCAGAGGCAACACGAGGGTGTGAAGCTTCGTTTGCAGAGAGCTGTGCTTGAGCGATGCGGCACATTCATGGATGGCAAGGCAAGGCGAGAGTCGTGTCAAGAGGTGCGGCGACGAGGTGAGTAAATAGTCGTTGTGCTATGAGGCGAGGCATCGACATGCAAGCTTGGTCAGTCACGGTAGGTGACAGAGGAGCGACGTGGTAGCTGACACACCAAGTAGCGAGCGAGCATGGTTGGAGCGAGGTGCACGATCATGGTGGACAGTGTCAAGCAAGTGTGATGGTGGTAGAGGTCAGGCAAGTGAGGTGCATGGTGGGCGAGGTGTGAAGAGTCATCGTCAATGAGCAGTCGTGGTCGAGTGGGGCGTCGGGAGCGACGGGTGGGACGACAAACACACAAGCTGAGCGAGGTGTTGAGAGTGTGGTCGTCGTCGCTGGAGATGTGGCGGTCGTCGAGCAGGGCACGTCAGGAGCGACGTGGTGGTGGTAGCTGACAGAGGTGTGATGACGTCGACGCGTGGTGTCACGGTCGCGTCAGTTTCAGCAGCTTCACGTGCAGACAACATTGACGGGTGGCGGGCCAAGTGCTCGATTTAAATTCTGGCCCCCTACATCAGGGAAAAGACTGCGAGATCGGAATATGTCACAATATTCAAAATGCATTATGATATACATAATCCCTTGGGATCTATCACAACTGAAACTCGCACATTAATATACCATTGTGATGCTATTGTAATACTATCCCGATGCCCTTCTCATATGCTCACAAGTCCACCACATTTTACTGACAACGAAAACACATTTGATCGCAATCACACAAATCACGGCTAGTAGAAATGATAAAAATATAGTATATTGCGTTCGGCAAATACATAAAACCAGCTACGTATACTAGACACTGTAATGAATCCCTCCACTCTTGGTTGTACTACTGGAAAACAACGGCCCTTATCGCTCCATGGTACCCTTGGCTAAGAGGGGATACAAGTAAGCATTTGAATGGGGCCGAGACATGCAAGAACTTACACAATGATGCAACCGCAGTGAGGACCAGGCCAACCGGTAGTGTAGGTGCATCTTTCAAGGCAATCAGTCTAAGGCGGAGTCAACAAAAAGGGACATACGCACCAAAACACATTTACAAAGTTGACTTCGACTTTAAACTGACAGACCTGATGCTGACCTATGACGGTATGAACATAATACAGAGATGGAGGTGGATGCACTTACCAGTGACCACGGACCGTGAGCGTGGAATCTACTATCCACATCAGCGACCAATACCAGTGTGACAGACAACAGCAGGTACCTGATATCTCCATCGAACTGACAGCGCATCTGTAAGTCCCACTGCTTGAGGAGCTCACATACCTTGGACGCAGAGATGCCCCCTCGTGAAGCCAAGAGTCGCGAGACTTCAGCGTGATGTGAGAGTAAAAGGACAAGTCCAACCACTTCCTTATTGGGACTTATCAACAATCTTCGGGCGGAGTTTGAATCATTTTTACTCCGCTGATGACGTCGTCTTCCCCTTTGCGAAGTTCCAGGCGACGACTGCTTGACATGAAGTGGGATACTCATTTTTTAATGATTTGGTACTTAGTAAAAGGCTTTATAGAGCGTGAGGAAGCTACATTGATCTTTCTCATATCTTGTAGCACTCTCATAGTTTGATTATAGGTATGTTGGGACCAAGTCAGGATGTGTGAAATGAGCTGTAATGAATTATCAACAGTAAAAGGTCATCAGGAGTGGATTCCAAGCAATTTCCTATATTATGATGGAATTGTAATCACCCGAAATAATGGCCGCTCGTTAGGATCGGCAAAATCCGCCGTGACCAATTACAATTTTTTGGTCTTTTTCCTGATGTAGAGTTTCGAACCTATTGTATAGGAGGACTGGTGCTCTTATTGGTGTCCGAGGATAATTAATACTATATTAATCCTCATTGGTACGAACGACAAGATGCAAAACCTCACCACCTTTCATCGCCTCAAGCCTCGGCGTCAACTATGTTCCTCTCATTGTACCCTCTGAATGTCAATAATCTTCGTAGCCTCGCTTCTCGTGTTGCTGAAAGCCTTCCTCAGTGGAGGTTTCGTGCTCGATGGACGAGAGAAACTCACTGTGCCCGGCAAGATTGTCATGACCTTCCGAGAGGCGATGGTCAGGGCACTGGGGTAGCTCTTCAAGGAGAAGAATACCAACGGCGTCAAAGGCAGGGTGTAGTGGAGGCTGGACGTGTTTCAAGCAGAAGGGAAGGCAAGTATCGCCCACTGGGTGTTATCACCCAGACCACCTTTCTAATATGCGTGCCTAAGAACGAGCTCACCCATCTGCTCTTCGCAGCCTGAAGGAACTCTCAGCTATCATCGACGTATTCTATCCAAGCAGCTCCACGCATGGACAGCGAGGGACTCCGGTATTTCCTATTTGGCAGTGTGGAATGATAGCTGGGTTATTTTTTTTTTTCAGTGGTATTCATAGCTGATACATCGCGGGTTCCATATGTACCCCAAGAACCAAGAGGCGAACATTCTGAACATCTCCAGGGTCTGCACTGACAAAGAGGAGGTCTCGCACTTTTGTCAACAATGAGGTGCCCCTCTCCTCCTCAGAAAATTCCTAATACGTGTGCGTGTGCGCCCTCACAAACTGGAGCCTCCTCGTGTGCTCGCTGTCATCGTTCACTTGATAGTCGCTTATCCTCAAACAATGAGTGCAATAACTTTATGTTACAGGTCCTACTTCGTGCAACTATGAAAGATATCAAGTTACGGACCTATTGCAGGTTGGCGGTGAAGTCGTCGAGCGAACTTCTTCCTGGATAATTTCTTTGCAAATGGATCCACCTCTACTTCTGAGTTTACTAGAACGATACATTCACATACATTCATTGATCTTCGCCGACAAATTAACCTAACGCTACAGTGTATTCAGATGTCGAGCCTTCGTTATCGTACAAGATAATGTTACGAAGATGTACTAAATTGAGAAACCTTCGTGACCACGCTACGAAGGCCGAAGAATGACATAGCCTCCTTGTATTGGGGTAATGATATCTGAGAAGCCGCAGTCACTGTACAGAAAGGCAAGCTGAAGTTGGGTAGACAGTGATATTATAGAAGTTACAAAAGTACTGTTACAGAGGCGTCATGTATGTCATCACTCAATCTACAAATTAGCACGATAAAATTCCACATTGAAGTTCCCTGTCCTCCTTTCGAGTACCACTTGGTCAATCAAGCGAAGAACGTCCACTGCACATCCAACAGAGAAAGAAAATCCGGATCCTCCTTGCCCATAGGAATGAACAATGCTGCTGGATCCACCGTGCATCTTATTCGGCCGTAGCTCGCGTCCCACGCGCACGTTCCCCACACGCGTAGGTCGGAGTCCTTGAACAACAGGCGCTACTGGGTCAAACTCTGCATTCTCGAGTCCCGGAACACTGTCAACGCCGTCCTTAGTGGTCCGGAAATCTCGCACATTAAGGAGCACGTACAATTTGTTGCATCGCTCACGCATCCGCTGGATCTCGGGTGACTCCATCTTAAAATTAAGTTCCCATTTGTGCGGCTGAGCAATACCACCGAGGATAAGAATCTAGAAGAAATCTAAATTAAAAGAAATCGAATGGCAAGTCGAATATGCTTACGTTGTCATTTCGAGGAACTATGAAAACGATGTCCTCGTGCTCAGAGCTCAATTCGTTGTCGTGTGTGACAGCTAGAGCTTCCGTGACCTTAGGGAACC